ATATACAGTAGAGCGTCGATTATCCGAAAGTCAATCATCCGAAATGTCAATCATTCGAAAGAATTCCAGTCGGCAAATTTAAATTTTCGCCAGTGCTGTGGTGCTGCAATCTTTGGCTATGTGTTGGGCTACTCAAATATTTTACGTTTTTGATACTAAATTAACTTCTGAAGTATAATTTTTTATTGTTTTTATACTTTTCAATATATTTATTTTGTTCGTACAAAATAAAAAAATAATTTTTAACAATACAATAGTCTTCATTAGGCTTAACATCGACGAAAATTCAACGCAAAGCGACACGCAATGGAGAAAAATGTCAAGATGGGATAAATTAATATATTTTTTCGTACGTAATCGGTTATCCGAAACATCGATCTTCCGAACAACCCCAGTCCCCAATTGATTCGGATAATCGACACTCTACTGTATCTATTAAAACTTTCATTTTCCTTTTTGTGTATACCGAAACAATTAAATAAATGAAAATTTGCATGTATCATTGTTATAATGCGCAAGTGTGAGTACGAACTCTTGGTATAACAATTCTTATTCATTTTGTATTTGTTTTACTTTTTTAAAAGTATGTTTGCCTAAATTGTGGCCCATTGTAATGTTACGCATGATCAAAGTGTCCTGCAAAACAATTTGGGTTGGCCAGACCTGACTTAAATAATAATTCTAAATCAGTTTGGCCTAGGACAAACTAGTTAAGCCTAAAGTATTTAGGCCAAACTAGATTGTCCTAGGCTAAACTAGTATATCCTGACATGCGTAGGATAAACTAGTTTGGTCTGAAATCAGGTTTTGCCGGTAACATATACATAAGTTGGGAAAGTAAAAAGGAGTCAGAGTCTGCATATTTTTGACAACTCCAACTATGACTAAAACACCAAAACCCCACAACTCTTGACTCCACAGTCCTGGATAATAGTGACAATCTGCTCCTAAAATAGTGAGATAACTATTCTAAACAAGAATTAGTGTCATCTAAACTTAATTTTATACCATACACAGATAATTGATTGCTCATTAAGAGAAAATTGGTAAATCATTTTAAATAATTTTACTTTACTGAAAAATCAGATCTTGTGATTTTTCAGATAAGCACATAAGAATTAGATTCAATAATATGAATTTGAAACCTTGCACATTTAAATTTTATATTGAGCTATTTTCAACGATTTTTATCTCTGATAATAGACTGTCCTTTAACGTAAGTACTTTCAGTCTGAATCTGTTTTCTGCTTTACCTGAAGAATGACAATAATAAATATCACTTCTCTTCATATACAGTCGACCCCCCTATAAGATAGAGATACGTTCCATTCTCTAGGAATCCGCTTTCTTACGAATCCTTCCAATCACAACCCGACACGTATCAAGTTTACGGACTACGGCTGTTTGAAAGATTTTCTTCCATAAAATTAATCGATTCTAGACTAATCCGACTCAACATTTCCAAAATACGTATATATTTTTTGGGAATAATCCGTATAAACTACGCTATAAACAAAAAATTGTAGGATTACTTACCGAGTGTCACCATTCGACATTGCCATTGCTC